ATCAGGGAAGATGGTCAGCACAGTCAAAAATGGTCGGCACAGTCAAAGGAGGTCAACACAGATGAGAATGGTTAGTACAAGCAAAAATGGTCAGCACAATCAAAGATGATCAACCCAATCTGAGAGGATGGTCCACAAAGTCAGAGAAGGTCAACACAGAATGATTAAACGAAGGACAACACAGTCTATCCAAAATTGGAAGCAGTTGGAAGCAACGAGATGCCAAAAGATGGCGATAAACAGGCCAAACGATGGTCAATACAGTATTAAATCCTCTCTTTCCCCCAACCCACAAATACAAAGACGTTGAGCATGAGGGATCCCTCTGTATCTTTCCTCTAACCAGCCTGATGACATTACTTGGAAGCACAGGGCTGTAAATGCTTTTCTAGGGGCTAAAGACGTTAAGTCTTGAAAATATTGTTGACATTATGTTGCACCTCAGAGTAGATTCACCTTGCTGAAGACACCAAACCACGCACAGTCAGAAGTCTTTATAGTTTATTAAAAACAAAAGGTAAAAGGTTTGTAAAAACAAAGGTTAATGTTCTAACAGATCAATATCCTAAAGCACTTGAAGCTTAGTCCAAAAAGGCACCAGCAAAGCAAAAACCAAAGAGCCCTGAAATCATGAACACAAAAACTGTAAGTTAAATCCAGATAAGCATAGGCAATCTCCTTAGTAGAACGCAAAGTTGCTTTGACAAAAATTTGGTCTCGCACACATGCCTTATATAATAATAATAATAATAATAATAATAATAATACTTTAGTTGTACCCCACTACCATCTCCCCAAGGGACTCGGTGTGGCTTACATGAGGCCAAGCCCACAACACATCAGTAAACAAAGGCGATAACAAATAATCAATAAAAACAGTTAAAATAAAAATAAAACAAAACTCAAAAACAAAAAATATACAATAAGCAATTAACAATAACAATAACATACAACATTTTAAAAACCTATGGCCGGGCCAAATGTAATAATTAAAAAATAAAATTTAAAATGCTGGGGCATGAACAAGGTAGGGTAAACTAGGATAGGGTTTTGAAAGATAGAAGAGGGCGCGCAGACAATCCTAATCAATATTAAAGTGCAGTTGAGGACTTATTGCTAAGAGTTTTCCATATTCTGGTAAGGCACACTGGAACAACCACGTTTTCAGGCTCCTCCTAAAGACTGCCAAAGTTGGGGCATGTCTGATGTCCTCAGGGAGTGAATGCCAGAGTCGAGGGGCCACCACCGAGAAGGCCCTCTCCCTCGTCCCCACCAATCGCACTTGCGAAGGAGGTGGGAGCGTGAGCAGGGCCTCTCCAGATGATTGAAGAGATCGTGTGGGTTCATACACAGAAATATGGTCACGCAGGTAGGCAGTCCCAAACCGTTCAGGGCTTTGTAGGTAAGAACCTGCACCTTGAATTGAGACTGGAAAATGAACGGCAGCCAGCGGAGCTCCCTAAACAGGAGGGTTGACTGCTCCCTGTAAGAAGCACCGATTAGTAACCTGGCTGCCGCCCGTTGTAACAATTGAAATTTCCTGGCCTGGTTTTCAAGGGCAGCCCCACGTAGAGTGCATTACAGTAATCCAATCTGCGGGTGACTAAGGCATGGACCATCCTGGCCAGATCCGACTTCACAAGGTATGGTTGCAGTTGGCGCACAAGTCTTAATTGTGCAAAGGCCCTCCTGGCCACCACCGACACCTGAGCTTCAAGCGTAAGTGATGAATCCAGGAGGACACCCAAACTGCGCACCTGTGACTTCAGGGGGAGTGTAACCCCATCCAGCACAGGTAGCCACCCTATACCCCGATCCGGTTTACGATCGACCAGGAGGATCTCTGTCTTGTCGGGATTGATCCAAACAGCCACAGCGGCCAGGCACTCGTCCAGCACTCGAGGGGCTTCCTTGGAATTAGGTGGAAAAAAGTAGTAGAATTGTGTGTCATCTGCATAGAGATGGCAGCGAACTCCAAAACTCTCCCAGCGGTTTCATGTAGATGTTGAAAAGCATGGGGGACAGGATGGAATCTTGCGGGACCCCACAAGTCAAAGGCCAGGGGTCCGAGCAGGTGTCACCCAGCTTCACCATCTGGGAACGACCCTCCAAGAAGGACCGGAGCCACGACAAAGCCGTGCCACCAAGACCCATCCCGGAGAGTCGTCCCAGAAGGATACCATGATCGATGGTATCGAAAGCCGCTGAGATGTCCAAGAGAACCAACAGGGTCACACTCCCCCTGTCCAGTTCCCTGCGGAGGTCATCCACCAAGGCGACCAAAATACCATGACCAGGCCTGAAGCCAGACTGTGACTGATCCAAATAGTTGATGTCATCCAGGAAACCCTGGAGCTGAGAGGCAACCACCTTGCCCAAGAAAGGGATATCCTTTGCAAAACATGAAGGCGTTTCTTTGGCCCCTGGCCTCCCTGGCCTCCCTCTTCGGACTCGGAATTCCAACCAATCAGCCTGATCTAAAGTTCCCATTTCGTCAAGGTCAGTCTGTTCGTTAGTGTCAGCCTGTTTCCCTGCTTGCTCATTATCAGGCTGAGAATTCTCCTCCTCTGAATCAATCTGCACCTGGCTATTTTCAGTATCAACACTCTCATGCCTTGCTGCGGGAAACTGCACTTCTTCATCGTCTATAACAGGGACATCTTGAACCAAACTGTGAACCTGAGTCCCATCATCCTCATCAGAGACAGTCTGTGATTCCAGCTGAGTCACAACACATTATTAGTCATTCTTTATTAGAGGATACCAAGTAGTGAAATCCTGCTCTTTGCTAGTCTGCAAGTTGTCAATTGCATCCATCTCAAAGATTTTGTCTCTAATCGCCTTCTTGTTCAACTGCATTAGAGTCATTGTTGACCCATCAAAATACTGGAGCATGTTACAGTAAGTTGTAACAGAATCAAGTCTGTGTGTGTATTAAAGAAAACCTTATACTGTTGATCATTATGTGCAGCTGCTAATGTAGCTTAACTAGTAAGTTTGGACCACACCCAGTGGGGTATAACTGTATAGTTTTTAGAATACAGTTTAGCTTTTGCTTTGAGGAGCATTTGCTCAAGCATTTACTCAACCATTTCTGCTGCTCTCTCATTTGGATGAAGGTGCCTTATTCTGTATTTCTTACAAGGACTATGTAAGTTTGTTGCACTGTTTGTTTTTGTTTGCAACATTGCAAGTTTCTGTTTTAACTCTGCTGATAAGTGTAAAGTTTTTCTGTTCTTTTTCCTCTTGCCTAGGTGCAATGTTCTTGTGTCTTCTGCACTGGACCTGACTGAAACACACAATGCGCAACAGAGCAGAGCTAACCAGTGTTGAGCCCAATCTCCCCACTTACATTGCTCCATCAAAAGTCTCCTAAGTCCTATTTGTGTAGTTGACAAGAGGGCCATATCATCAGCATATAATAAGATTTGAATTCTCCTATTACCTCCTGATGGTGAGAAGTGATCAGGGGAGCTCAGTTTGGCAACTAGATTGTTTACATAGAAATTGAACAGGAAAGGTGCCAGCTGTTATAGCTGTTAGGAATTGTGGGAGTCCAAAACACTTAGAGGGCTGAAGTTTGCTCATACCTGTTATATAGTGTCAACATTATTCTTCTTCCCATACTTATCTTATTCAAGAATTATGCTGACTTTTGGCTCATCTCCTCCCATTTCCTTTTCCTTCCTTTCTGCTGGTCTTACATTCTCTCTTTCTGTCTCCTTTCTAGTTCCCCAAAAACAAGCCCTCGGTGAACATCATTGAAGCATGACAGCCGGATGGACCGGCTCCATTCTTCCACACCTGCTGCTTTTCCTTCCCAGATTTGGCTGCCGGGGAATTGAAAACAGGGTTGTCCTTTGTGCCGCCAGAGACTTCAACCGCTTCCATCTTTCGACGGAGGAGGAGGAGGGCCAAGCCAAGCAAACTTAACCCAAGGTGGAGTGATAGAAAACTCTTTTATTGGGATGAGAGAATGGAAACATTCCCATCTTCAAGGGTCGGGTTTGGACTTGCTGTACTCGCCTGTGCCATAGAGGCCGAATCACGGTGCCATCGTCCACCCCGACTGTCCGTCTCCGTTTCTTCTCTCTGTGGTTCCGCTTCCTCCCATGGCTCCGTTTTCTAAACATAGGGGATGCTTGCCCGTGATCTCAGACGCCTCCAACCTCCCTTTTCATGGAAAGGAAGCCCCTCTTCTCCCAAGACAAAGGACGTTGCCCCCAAATCTGCCGTTTTCGCAGGCCTAGAGTGCCATTTCCCATAAATAAACACAAGCACACGACATTCTCCACCTGGGTTCTCAGGACTCCACCAGCTGCTTCTTTAGAGGTTATTTTGAGCAGTTGTGAGTTTCTTCTTTCCGGTGCGTGTCGTGCGTCGTGTTCCCTTGTCGGATAATATTCAACAGAGAATGCAAAAAAGAAAAAAAATGAAGCCGAAACCAAACCCGTTTTTTCAACGCAACATAATGGCAAGATCTGCCAAAAAGCATCTGGTTTTGTTTTCCACTCGATTGCAAACATTGTATGCATTTTATACCAGTTTATCTGCCTGCTGTGGCTCCTCTCACCAAGGCTGTGTGCCTGCACTGTAGAATGAATGCAGTTTAAAACCACTTGAACCGCCATGACTCCATGTGATGGAATCTGCTAGGATTTGGGGTTTGATGAGGCATCCCCTCGCTTTGCAGAGAAGGCAAAAGACCTGGTAATACTACAACTCCCATGATTTCAGACCACTAAGCCAGAGCAGTTCAAGTGTTGTCAAAATTGCATTCATTCTACAATGTAAATACATCCAAAATCCCAGGAATGGCTATTTTATGATGTGATGAAACTGTACAGATGTAGAAAGAGCTTTACCAGTGTGGTTATTGTGGTTTCCCCCAATGTATGGCCTCCCTGTTGACGAGGTTGTTTGGAGATGATAGTGGTTGTAGTCTGGGACATTTAGAAAAGGAGCTGATTTCCCTAATCTATAGCCTTCCTATTATCAATAAGGCTATTTGGAGATAATGGTGGTTGTGACCCAAGACATTTAGAAAGGGGCTGATTTCCTCCAATTTGCAGCCTTCCTGATGTGCTCTTGGACTCTTAAGTCCTATCTTCCCCGTCAACAAGACTGTTTTGGGATGATGGTGATTGTAATCCAGGACATTTAGAAAGGGTCGGATTGAGAAGGAGATGATTCCCCTAATTTATAGCCATCCGGATATGCTTTTGAACTACAAATCCTATAATCCTCATCAACAAGGCTGTTTGGAAGTGATGGTGGTTGTAGCCCAAAACATTTAGAAAGAGACTGATTTTCTCCAATGTGCAACCTTCCTGATGTGCTCTTGGACTACAAATCCTGTCATCCCCATTAACTAGACTGTCTGGGGGTGATGGTGGTCATAGCCAATTTTGAAAGGCCCAGATTGAGAAGGGGTTTGTGGACCAAGTTCCAAATCCTGTTTCCAACTGGGGACAGATAGATGCCCTACAAGTTTTTCCTATTAGCCCTTGCATTTGGACAGTAATCTTATTTAACCTTTGGGGGGTTTTTTAATGCAAAATCTGAGCTAAAACTAATGCGATTAGGATGGCTGGGAATTTAAGGTTTGCGGGTGTGTCCAATATTGGCCATCTGAGCCAGGAATAAGTCCTTTGGCCCAGAAAAGATACCATTATGAAAAGGTGGGTTGCTGTGAGTTTTCTGGACTGCATGGCCAGGTTCCAGAAGCATTCTCTCCTGATGTTTTGCCCCCATCTATGGCAGGGGTCTCAACCTCTGAGGATGCCTGCCATGTGGGTGAAACATCAGGAGAGAATGTTTCCAGAACATGGTCATGCAGCCCAGAAAACTCACAGCAACCCAGTGATTCCAGCCATGAAAGCCTTCAACAACACATTGTGAAAAGAGGTACTGGATACCTCCTTGCGCTGTAACATCAAAAGGACTTCAGGGTGTGTGTGTGTGTGTGTATGTGTGTGTGTATATATATAGACACACACATACACACACACTAATATATATAAATATATAAGAATGAAGATTTGTGTTGTTTCCCACTATAAATCACAAAGACGATTCTGGCCCCATATAACCGTATGTAATGACCCCAAACAGGAAGGCTTTTCATCCTTTTTTCAAAAAGGCAGCATAAACTAATGAATGGCCCTGTTGCACCTTGTAGCCTTGCCAAGGAATGGCTCGTTTTGTGACCGTTTTCTTACATTTTTCCTGGATTGAACGCTGGTTTTATCAGACGCCTCTCTCTCCTGACACTTTCCCCCACATTTTGGCAAGCTCAAAGTGCATTATTTATTTAAACATTGTTCACCTTCAGCCTTGTGTCATTGAAGAAAACAGCTGCAAATCCAGGTCCAACCGGCACTATCTGTCTGCAGGATTGTCAGTAGGAAGTGTATATATTTGTACTGGATTTTAGTCCAAACTTTGAGAACCTTCCCGACACCTGAAGCTATTTAGGGAGTGGTTCTCAACCTGTGGGTCCCCAGATGTTTTGGCCTTCAACTCCCAGTAAACTGGTAAACTGGCTGGGATTTCTGGGAGTTGTAGACCAAAACACTTGGGGATCCACAGGCTGAGAACCACTGTATTATGGAGATAGAGAGACCCAGCGCTTTGGATGGGCTTCTCAAAGTTCAGACTAAAACCCAAAGCAGATTTGCAATCAGAGCCACAAGTCTCCACTAGATATAATCTTTGCTGCAGAAAGACCTTTCTTGAATACAGGATTTGATCTCATTCGGATCTGATCTAATCCATCCAAAGCTGTGAAAATGTACACAAATACCCCAAACATCATCCTGGATTTATAAAAATGGCTTGTGTTTTTGAAGGAAGTGCTGCAAAATGGTGAATGCCGTCCTTCCTTCGTGTCGCTGCCTTAATGTGTCTTTGTTATAGGACTTAAGTTTTCTTTTTAAAATGTGACTTCTATGAAATGTATTTGGTGCATTCATTGTAATCCCCCTCTAACTCCTTATTTCAGAGTAGCCTCCCTACCCCTACCCCAATAACATTAGTCCAAACATTGAAGGAAGAATCCAACTTGGTAAGCCGGTTTAGGCTCAGTGTCATGGAGAGGTCTTTTAAAGTTCGGACTAAAGATTCATAGCACCATTTGCACCCATTGCTTCCAAAGCGTTCTTTTATCGGCGCTAGGTCATGATATATGATGTCACTGTGATGACATCACGTCACATTTTGAGAATTCATAGGAATACCATATATATTTCTTTCTCAAGCTTGCTTCCTTCTTTTGTGCCATTTTTTTAAGTTCCAAGGGAAGAGGAACTAAGTCTCTTTTAGCCAAGGAGGCCTGTTCAAAATGGATATAAAAACACGGGGTTTTCCAAGCTTTCCGTCTGCGTATAAAGCTCACTTTTCAAGCTGAGAGCTTGGTTAATTTCAAATACGAGGCGTGATCCGTTCCGGGACGCATTGCTCACCATTGCACACTTGTGTTGTCGCACGAGGGAACGGCAGCCCTTTCCGGAGCCTTCCAGCTGCCCCGAACCGCCCAACTTGGGCGACGAAGGAAAAGGTTGTTAGCTGTGATAACCGTCTGAGCAATAAACTATGTTTTTAAACGCACAATGGAAAAGACCTTCCCTTTGAATGTAAAGAGATCATAGTTGAAAGGACTGCTTTGCTAGGACCTGACCATGAGAAGGTGGGTTTCTTAGCAAGGCATTTAAAAGTTCATGAACAAGCCTGCCTAAAGATGCACATTTTCCCTCCAGAACAGTGTTTCTCAACCTGGGGGTCGGGACCCCTGGGTGGTCATGAGGGGGTGTCAGAGGGGTCACCAAAGACAATCAGAAAACACAGGATTTTCTGTTGGTCATGGAGGTTCTGTGTGGGAAGCCTGGCCCAATTCTATTGTGGGGTGGGTTCAGAATGCTCTTTGATTGTAGGTGAATTATAAATCCCAGCAACTATAACTCCCAAATGTCAAGGTCTATTTCCCCCAAACTCCACCAGTGTTCACATTTGGGCATATTGAGTATTTGTGCCAAGTTTGGTCCATATCCATCATTGTTTGAATCCACAGTGCTCTCTCGACATAGAGGAACTACAACTCCAAAATTCAAGGTCAATGCCCACAAAACCCTTCCAGTGTTTTCTATTGGTCATGGGAGTTCCGTGTGCCAAGTTTGGTTCAATTCCATCATTGGTGGAATTCACAATGCTCTTTGATTGTAGGTGATCTATAAATCCCAGCAACTACAACTCCCAAATGACAAAATCAATCCCCCTTCCCAACTCCACCAATATTCAAATGTGGACATATCGGGTATTTGTGCCATTGGTCCAGTGAATGAAAATACATCCTGTATACTGGATATCTGCATTATGATTCATACCAGTAGCAACATTACAGTTATGAAATAGCAACAAAAATAATGTTATTGCTAGAGGTCACCACAACATGAGGAATTGGATTAAGGGGTCGCGGCATTAGGGAAGTTGAGAAACACTGTTCCGGAGAGTGTCTTTTAACACATTTTGTAGAAAGGGGAGTCCCAGGGGTAGTAACAGGAGGTAACAAAGAAAGCAAAAGTCTTCCTCTCTATAGAAAGTGAGCATCTCAAGCAAGCAAAGGCCAGTTTGCCTATAGAGAGCTATATAAAACACAGTTCCATGTGAGAGGGATCTAAGAGTCTTAGTAGACCACAGGCTAAACGTGAGCCAATAATGTGATGCAGCAGTGAAAAGGCCAATGCGGTTCTAGACTGCATCCATAGAAGTCAAGGACTGAGGGAAGTCACAGACCCCCCTCTATTCTGCTTTGGTTAGACCACCCCTGGAATTAGAACTTGAGTCCAGCTCTGGGCAAAACAACTAAAATGGAGGTGGACAAGGTGGAAGATGCCTAGAGGGCAACCAGTGGTCAAAGGGCTGGAAACCATGAATCCCTTTGAGAAAGCTGGGTATGTTTACTTTGAAGAAGGTGAAAAGTGGACATGAGAGAAATGTTTAATATTGGAAATGATGTCCCATTGAGGAGGGGCCAAGCTTGTTTTCTGCTGCTCCATAGACTGGGGCACAGTGGAGCCATGGATTCAAATTGCAGGAGGAGATATTCCACCTGAACCTACTGAAGGTTAGAGCTGAATAAGAAGCCTGGGAGTCTGATGGAGTCATCTTCTCAGGAGCTTTTTAAGCAGAGGCTGAGTGGCCAACTGTCGGGGGTGCTTTAATTGTTTTTCTACCTAGTAGAATGGGCTGCTGAACTTGCTGATCAAAAGATCGCAGGTTCGAATCCTTGAAGTGGCGTGAGCTCCCGCTCTTAGGCCCAGCTTCTGCCAACCTAGCAGTTTGAAAACATGCAAATGTGAGTAGATCAATAGGTACCGCTCCGACGGGAAGGTAACGGCGTTCCATGCAGTCATGCCAGTCACATGACCTTGGAGGTGTTTACGGACAATGCCGGTTCTTCGACTTAGAAACGGAGATGAGCACAAACCCCCAGAGACGGACACAATTGGACTTAATGTTAGGGAAAAACCTTTACCTAACCTAGAATAGGGCTGGACTGGATGACCTTTGGAGCTCTTTTCCAATCCTAGGATTCTATGAAAATGCCTGCCTCCATATAAAAAGGCAGCGCTTCAACCCTGGTCTAGAGGCTGAAATGCTGAATTGCCCACTTTGTATGGGGTGGAACCTTATTTTGAGATGGGGGAATAAACGTTCCAATAGGGATGCAGTCTGGATTTGTTTTCATCTCACACTGATCAATCTTCTCAAAAATTTGGCCTTCCTCTCTTGAATTTCCCTTGTGGCATCAAAACCAGGTTAATCAGAGGGAATCCATATACCTTTCCCCCCTTTTTTTGGGCTCAGCTTGGTATTTTGTACTCTTTGAAGAGCGGAAACAGTGCCAAAAGCATCCCTGCTGTTTTCATTGCAAGGAGATTAGTGAGGGCTGTGGAGGTGGCGGGGACAATCAGTAAAGTTCTCTGAGAAAGACCATTTTGTCCCTGGAAGGAAAGAGCAAGTACAAAAGAGCTCTTTACAAAAACAGCAGTGCACAGGGGTCCCCTTTTAGAGGCGTTTAGCATGGCTTCCACATTTGCCACCTCTTCCTGGTGACAAACTTTCCTGCTGATTCAGGTCGCATTTTGAAACGCGATGGGCTTTATAAGCCACACTGTGGTATTTTTAAAAGCCTTCCTTCACTCCCAGCAATTCTGGGGGCGTAATTCCACCTTTCCTTTCCCCCAACCATAAATCTCCATACAAGAGACCCACCTCCTGATAAGCACCATGCTTTCCTTTGCTGTGGGCGTTTTAGAGGCAATAATTCCCCAATTGCACATGGTGCCAAAAGCCAAAAAGCCCTTTTCTCCATTCCTGAGTGTTATTATGACTGGTGGGGACCATAAATAGCGAGAAGCTGGTAGTTAATCTTGGTCTTGGTCTATGTCACTGTGCCACTGATATTTGATTTGGGAGATCTCATGGAAAGGATTGCCTTCTCAACAAGGAATTAAACTTGTGTCGTTTGAGACAACGAGAAAGCTTCAGAAATGAAGCATTTGATGGACCAGGTGCTATCTTGCGCAGCTATGCTCAGTATCACCTTTGGAGAGCCATCCTTTCCAATCCGCACAAAGATGAGAGAAGCCTCGCAGCCATGAGCTCAAAGTACAGGAAAGGAGATTCCACCTGAACATTAGGAAGAACTTCCTAACCATCCTCAGAGTCCAGTGGAGGCTCCTTCTTTGTATGTTTTTAAACAGAGGCTGGATGGCCATCTGTTGGGAGAACTTTGATTGTGCTTTTCTTGCATGGCAGGAAGAACAGGGTTGGACTGGATGGCCCCTGGGATCTCTATGATGCTACTAAAATAATCAATGTTAAACTTTGGTCCAGCTAAAGCAGGACTAGGGAACCTTCTAATCAAAAAATCCTAGTTGGAAGGGATCCCAATGACCATCCACTCTAATCCCCTTTTACCAGGCTGGAAGACACAATCAAAGCACCCACGACAGATAGCCATCCAGCCTCATCTTAAAAACCTCCAGAGAAGGAAGGAGACTCCACTGGACTTCCAGGCAGAAGCATATTCCTTTGTTGAACAGTTCTGAACATTGGGAAGTTCTTCCTAATGTTTAGGTGAAATCTCTTACCCTGGAGTTTGCATCCAGCTTTTTGGGGTGTTCCCAGTATCCCTTGTCCCATAAGAAAAGTCTCAGGGGACACATTTTCTGGGGTGGAAAACTAAAATGGGGTCAGATGCACTGTTTTATCCCCTCTGTGCACGCGAATATGAAAAAGGGGAGAAGGGGAGGTTTAAAGCGCAGCTAGGAACGTTTATTTTTAGAAGCGATTTGTTCCCATTATTCATGTGTTTCAAATGTAATTTGTTGCCATTAGTCATATGGAAAAATGGAGTCATTCTGTCCCTCGCTGCCCCGCCTGTGGCTTTTCAATGATTGCCCAAGTAGGATATCCCTCCCAACCCAACTGCCTAGCAATGAGCCTCTGAAAAACCTACTGTGGCCTTTGGTCCTGCATCCCCATTGCTCTACTTCTGGATCTGTCAGCATCTCACGCTTCAGCAGCTGAATATGTGGACTTCAAAGCTCTGTGTCTGACGTGATACGAAATACTTGCTTACGGTTATTTGAACCCAGGCAGCTGTTCCTCCCATTCAGTCATCCCTTAGTGGCTTTGGCTATTAACAAATGTGTTTGAAGGCTTCTCAAGATTTCTAAAAATGGGAAGGGAATGTCAATGAGATTGACATGCAAAGCAGTCAACCACAATCCACAGTGAGGAAGAAGGGTAAGCGCAACGCAGGATATCGAAAAGACAAAAACGTTTATAAAGTTTATCACAGTGAAACGTATTTCAGAATAGTCAAAGCTCAACCACCTCCCAAGACAAACCAAGGGCAAGGCATCTCTTTCTAACAAAAGCATAAACACTGAACTTGAAGATCCACTGAATCCACCATTAAGTGGTAAACTAAGACTTACATAAATTACACTGAGTCAGTCAATGGGTTTATTCTGATAGGACGAGACACTGGATTTAGGCCTGAATTGGCTTTCATGTTAAAAAAATAAAATAAGGTAAAGCGGAGGATAAAAAAAATACACCTTCTTCTCTGAGGTGTCGTCTAGCTTGGGATTGGGCTGCGCTGGAAGTCTTCTGGGAGAGATGCGAACCGAGGAATGTTGCGGCCGTTCCGTTCAACCCACTGGGAAAGGCTGAAGGTCTGGGATGGGTCTTTACTGCGCTGCGCATAGTTCCTACACAAAGAAAGGAGCAGAAGATGAGGTGCAAGGCAACAGAATGAGAACGAAAGAGCCGATGGTACAAGAGAGAAGCAAAATCACAGGCAACGTCATGAAGTTTTTGTTGGATGAGCAAGTTTAATAGCAAAAGACCCTTCTCATAAATGTACAGCAGAGTAACTTAGGAGCAGCAGTGTGACCCAGTACCAGTAGCCCAAAGTGATAAAAAGAACAAAAACACACAGACCAATGTTATCTCTTCCATAGGAGGCTTTTCTTTGTAGTAAAATAATACAGCTGCACTATTTACAATAACAAGGTTTCTATAACACAAATAAACAAATACATAGTAGTTTTACACGCAGCAGCCTTCACACTTTGGAGCTTTAAACATGAGGCTTCTCTCACACAGAGGTTTACCTCACAATCCTTAGGGCGACACTAGCTTTGGCCCGCTAACTCTAATAGGCTTCGGCCTACTCACTCTCCTGTGCTGGTCAGTGACCGTAATAAAGTTTTGTATTGTATTGTACTCACTCTCCTCAGGATGACACTAGCTTCGGCCCACTGACTCTAATAGGCTTCGGCCTACTAACTCTTTCAATGCTTGACTCACACTTTTGTATTCAAAATACCCAGTTAATTTTTTAATATTTCTGACTGTTTTCTCCACGCTGGGTTTTGAATCAGACCCAAAGTCTCATCAGCAAGATATATGCAAATATTTGAATGTGGTGTTATGTGCCTTCGAGGTGACACAGGGTTATGATGACCCTGATCCTAGCGGTTTTCCTGGCAAGATTTATTCAAAGGGTTTGCCATAGCTTTCCCCTGAGACTTGCCCAATGCTCCTGTTTCCAGGGATGAGCAGGGATTTGAATCCTTGTCTGAGAGATTCCTAATCCATCACTCAAACGTCAACACTCAGGGTTATATCAAGTAGAAGAAGCAGCTCGTATTCCCTTGAGCCCCATTCCAAACCTCTGTCAGGCACACTTCCAGAAAACATGGCCGCTAAGGTAGTTTAATGGCTGTGCAAAGTAGACAAAATGGTGTAAACATTTGAGCACTGAACCATGGGTTCAAATCCATGCTGTGCCATGGAAATGCAATGGGTGACCTTGGGCCAGTCACACAGCCTCAGAGGAGGGCCAGGGAAAGCCCTCTCTGAACAAATCTCACCAGAGAAACATGCAACAGTATCGCTATACATCACAACCAACTTGAATTCACACGACAACCAAAAGTAAGCAAGGAAGCTGTATGGCAGCCCCTTCAGTCATAACTGTTGATATCCAAGGGCAGAAGAGGAAGGGGTGGGGGGGGGGGGAAGGATTTCTTCCAAACCACAGAAAAGAGGCCAGTTCCAACTGAATCGTCATTTCTGTCCACAAAGCCATTTGGCAACCATAGCAGTACCTCAAAGTGCATGGCAGTAGCTGGTGAGAATGAATGGAGCATGATACTCCCTATGCCCAGACACAAGATCTCAGCCACTGCATAGGCCAACATTCTGTGTTAAACACGAACCAAGCAAGCACTTTGGAGACACCCACAAACTGGCTTTACCCTACTCTTCCCACACTGAGGGTCCACAGGATGAGTCCATTCCAGTACAGTGCTTCTTCCCATACTCTGTTTACCTTATCTAATCCAAAAGCCAGCCAAGCGCTAGCTGCCATCATTACATCTTAGGGAAGTCAATTCCACCAACTGTTTGTTGCTGCTGGAAGCAAGGGATGAGTCAGGCCAATTAGTGACAAAATCTCTCTCGACTAGACTCCCGGAGAGTGTCAGGAAACCAGGGCTGTGTCTGTGCATCTGAGCGTGTTTGGCTCTTGGCAAGGAGGAAGCTTCCCCCACGATGGTTTGGACACCACTTTCAAGGGAAGATTCCTGGTTTCATGAAGCGCTTTGAGGAAACACACAAGGGCTACCCCACTGCCCCCTCCCTGGACATCTAGATCTCCTTTGTGTGTCACGGGAGGCAGCTGCAAGCTCCGTGTTGACCCCCGGGGGAAACGCCATGCCTTACATATCATACATGCCTTCCTTTGCTCATTCTCTCAGCTGCATCACTGCAGATTAAAAGACTAGCTTTAGGGTGCCAAGCAGAGGGCGCAGGAAGACATTCTTCAAAGGGTTACTGGAAATCGACAAGAAACGTACAGCTTTCAGGAGATGAAAGGCATTCTTTCCATTCAGTTGGAGCATTCGAAGGTTGGGTTCTTCCCCTCCCCAAGGCAGACTGCTATTAGACAACCTTTATTTTCCTGCCTTAAAGGAGTGCTTCAGAAAGCAAAAGCTTCATGAACAGGGAAGTGTATTAATGGAAATCTTGGAGCATTCATGCCACGGCGGATTCCTGCTGCTGTGAATTATGCACTTCACTACCATTTGATCCTAGGGTTTATACTCTGCTGCCCATTGGAGGCGGGCGGATTCAATGCCAAGGTTCCTACACACATTAAAGGTCGCAACCTCTGAGGATGCCTGCCATAGATGCAAACGAAATGTCAGGAGAGAATGCTTCTAGAACACGGCCATACATCCGAAAAACCTACAACTTAGTGATTCCGGCCATGAAAGCCTTCAACAATACTATCATCAGAATAGGATCAGTAGCTTGGACTTCTCCATTAAAGTTCATACTCAAACTCAAGGTGGATTCAGCAATCCAATAATATCACAGCCACCCACCTGTGCTCTGCTATTACATTTGTATGTACAACTAAACGTTATCCTTGAAGGCATCTCAGTAAGGTTTGCTTGGTTTTTCAGGCATTATGGCAGCCTACTCTCTTACCTGGCCAGCTCTGGACTGATGTGTAAACATAAGGCTGGTCTATCTAAATCAGTGGTTTCCAACTTATGGTCTGTGGACCACCAGTGGTCCGCAAGAACTAAAATATGGTCTGCGGCCTTACTGTTACTACACTGTTGCAACAAGAGCGACTGGTCTTGTGAAACCCTCTTATAGTGCCAAGGTTTATTAAGTATAGTTTTCTGTGGACAAGCAGATGGCATATGTTCTGCATAAGACACTAGAGCTGATGTGGTCTATCCAATGCAATTTTCTGAATCAGCACCCCAAATAACCAAACCAAATCTAAAGTTGACCAAAAACAGATTCCTAACCCTTTTGGTACTAATGTTGGAGAGTGATCCCTGGTCAAGGAAAGGTTGGGAACCACTGATCTATATTCACACTCAAAGGAGGGCATCTGGTAGGAGTTTCAGGGATCAAGAGCTCTCCTGGAAGTTAGGGCTACTCATGTGTCCTGAGGTGGGCCTTACACAGCTCTTGCCTCTCATGTAACTCTTTTAATTTCCAATAAAACCAAGAATAGGAAGAGTGGGTGTGAGGTGCCTTCACAACAGATGGACCCTTATCTGAGTCAATTTTGTCATGCACCAAATGTTCTGTTGTGAAACACGCAGGCTCACTCTCTGGGGTCAGATATGCTTAGTGCATTTGGCACGAAACAAAATGGGATTTCACCTGTTGAAATTACAGTTGGTTCTATTCTTCTGGCTCTCAGTTTTTGGGCCACAAATAACATAAGGCACAATTTGGGGCCGAAATGCCCAGCTGACTAGAAACTAGGAAGACAAAGTTGCACTATGTCAACTTAACTCCAGCATTTAAAATGTTGGTCATGCCAAAATAAGTATGAGCTTCAAAATGTGGGATTATTCTGTTATTCTCAAATTGTTTTAAAAGGCTCTTGAACCATTTCAAAAACATCTATTTTTAAAGAAAGGAAAGCTTGCCAACAGGGTTTGGCCCAGACAGAAACAAAAGGGGACCCAGTACCTCACAGTCAGGTCGGTTGTGTGCTGAGAGCTGTACCCCTTGTATTCGGAAGCGACCTTCTGCATCAACGCCAGCATCTCATTGACTGCACCTGGAATTAATCAAGAAAACCAAGTATGTTCGCATCAGGAAAGATAACGGCAGAGACAACTTGTCCCATCTAAAGCCCCCATCTGCAAGTCCAACTACTTCTCTTGGCATGCGTCGTACACGATGCAGTGTATTTGTGAGCCAGTTTTGGTGCCAGCCAGAGCCAGCAGGTCCTAATTTCATCCAGCCTGAATGCAACTGACAAGGACACCGGGGAAGTCCAAATGCAATTTCCTCTGAAAGGCTGAAGCATCCTTTCTTAGAATGGAATTTCCAGCCAGGGATGAGTCATCTTAACAGAGACCGAAAAAAATAAAATAAAAAGGGAGCTTCAGTAAGGGCTATCATTTAAATGTGTGTGAACTCCAATGACAGGAGATAAAAGAGGGACAGAGAGAAGGTTTATCTGGGTATAGACATAAATGCAGAAAAATTGGGACATAGAGATGACAGGGTCGGGGGGAGAATACTTGGCAAAGGCACCCATGAACCCAGCAGAGGGAGCACAAAAAGCAGTGGTGGCACTTGGACTGAAAGGTTCAGCAGCCTTGGGCAGCATAGGCAATGGGAAAGAATGATGGACATTTTGCACCCTTAAAGAAAAGGCATGAAGAACAACCAACTGAATGTCTCCTGAGATGTATGATAGAGAAGGACCAGGTTAATGCTGCCATGTATGGTTGTCTGGTCTTGAGAAATGAATTAGAAATCTGTTTCTTCCTATAGCCAACTGAGCTTGAATTGCCCTCCCCTGGAACAAGCTAATTCTAGCCCAAGATGTGACTGGATCTTTCAGCACTGTTAACATTAAATACACACACACAGTCCCCAAGTTACAAACATCTGACTTATAAACAACTCAGAGTTACAAATGGGTGTGAGATAACAGGAAATGAGAGAAATCTACCCCTCAGAAGGGAAATTAACTCCAGGAAGAGTTATTATCGTGGGAAAAAGGTGTTTCCACTAAAGCCAACCATTGTTTCCACAGAAAGGCACATTTTTCAAAATCCAATTCTCACAGGGACAGAAAGTGGGGTGAAATCTTCTGAACAGGGGCACAGACAACAAAGGAAACGCCATAGGGATGTTAGTCCTCCCCTATGGTATCCAAAGCATGCATGCATGCATAAATGCATCTCTCTCTCTCTCTCTCTCTCTCTGGAGTTACATTTTGAAATGTACCTATTGTGATTTAGATACAAATACAACTTCAGAACAAACCTGCAGAACCTATCTTGCTCGTAACTTGGGGACTGTCTATACACACACACACTCACATACAGGCAGACATGGCATTTGGTACTACCTGTGTAATTTATTTTGCTACCTTAATGCAATGAGAGTTCAGACAATGCAGGCAATTTAGGAGCGGCAATTCCATCTCCTCTCCCAGTACGGTACTTGACTCAAGTAGGCTATCTCCAATGCAAATATTGCTGTAGAAGTTACCTGGGCAGCCGGCTGCAGAGTCGCTATTGGAAATGCCTAATTATGCCGTTAATGGCCCTTGAAAGCTTATTTCCTGAACAGTGGGGCTTGGGAGGGGGAAGCAGAAAGCAAGAAAGCCTTCTGCAAATAGGAAGCCACAAAGACAAGGCAGATGAGCAGGATTTCACAGAGCAATGTTCAAAGGGAGCATCACAATGTAAATTTGGCAGTGTCTAAAGAGCCCTATAACACATTTAGTGCATGAAATGAATGGATCCCTATCGTGTATGCACCCCACCGCCCAAATATGTCCAGGGCCTGGGAAAGATGCCTCAGGACCCAGAGTGTTGTTGTAAACCAAGCAGAATTAAAACAAGGCCACACCTGACCTTTGTTTATGCTCCAGGAAGCAAATCCTCAAAATGCCGGACTTCAACTCCCAGCAGCCCCTGGGCCAGCAAAGCCAATTGTAAGAAATATTGGAAATTGTACTTCAACACTTGGGAGGACTGCATGATTCCCAACCATGCATGAATTATTAACCTAAAATGCTGAACCATCACCAGTTACAACAAACATACGGGCTAGAGAGTGATATAATGGGTCTCATTTGTTTCAGTCTTAATTGCAGGGAAACCATAGTCCAATTATTTCTGACTACAGCAGACCATGGCATCCATTAATCTACATGTTCACTAAGAATTCATCAATTGATTGGGGTTGGACTAGATGACCCATGAGGTCTCTTCGAACTCTATGATTTTATGATTGACTGGGCTTGCTCTAGTTTGGACTAAATAAACAATATGCGAACATCTTCAAATCCTTGGGTCAAAAATTCCTGAGATGTATTGCATACCTAAATATTGCCTCAAGTCCGCAAGCAGTCATTGTTCAAACCCAGATGTACCTAGGCTTGAAAACCACAACAGTTTTGGTATTAAAATCTGGAAAGCAGAAATGATGTAAGGTCCCTTCAATTGGCAGCTACTGAAGCCTACACAAAAGTTTCAGGATCACACAGGCTCCTGCTATGATCTGAAGTAGTGCTTTTGCTGGAACCAAAGATCTCTCTAAGTTCCCGACAACCAGAAGGAAATGGCTTCAGCAGATGCCTTTCTTTTGAGCCAATCTGCTGCATGCCATTCGTATTAATCACCCTCCTGCGTTAAAACCTCACAGGAAATGTCAGGTCTGGCACAGACGGATGGGGTTTCCTCTGGAGAGATCAGTGAAATTTTCATTCCGCCCACAGCTGCAAGGTGTCAAGCAGGAGAGCATTCAGTATTCATTTCAGATATTTATACAGCTTGTACACGGACGTATATTCATGTGTAGGTCAGCAATGGTATTATGGCCTCCTCTGCTCATAACGCTTCCTTCTGATCAGCTATTTTCCACCATAAAGACATCTGAAGTTTACCTAAGCCATTTTAGGTTGAGTGGGGTACATTTTCATGGGTCCTTTCGCCAAGTCAATTTTGTTCTGTGCATTTTAATATATGTACTTCATAGAAATGTGTGTTAATGTATATATTTCACATAATGTTTCATGACGATGTGTTTTTAACTATGCTGTGGCCTGCCTTGAGCCACAATGAGAGGCAGGTAAGAAATAAAATTACACTATGTAAGAATTTTCTTTTTAAAAAGAAAGTTCCTGGTTTGAAAGTGTTATTTCCTGTTTAATTGTGCGGTATTTACTTTGAAAGTAGCCGCTATACTCCAGAATCTTTGTTTTTGTGGCTGCCACAAAAATGTTGAATTGGAGATGTTGACAGGAATATGTTGACAAGCAGGGAGATGTTGACAAGCTGGAATGTGTCCAGAGGAGGGCGACTAAAATGATCAAGGGTCTGGAGAACAAGTCCTATGAGGAGCATCTTAAAGAGCTGGGCATGTTTAGCCTGCAGAAGAGAAGGATGAGAGGAGACATGATGGCCATGTATAAAGATGTGAGGGAAAGTCATAGGGAGGAGGGAGCAAGTTTATTTTCTGCCGCCCTGGAGACTAGGATGCAATGGCACAATGGCTTCAAACTACAGGAAAGGAGATTTCACCTGGACATGAGGAAGAACTTCCTGACTGTGGGAGCTGTTTAGCAGTGGAACTCTCTGCCCCGGAGTATGGTAGAGGCTCCTTCTTTGGAGGCTTTTAAACAGAGACTGGGTGGTCATCTGTTGGGGGTGTTTTGAATGTGATTTTCCTGCTTCTTGGTAGGGGGTTTGACTGGATGGCCCACGAGGTCTCTTCCAACTCAATGAGTCTATGATTCTATGATTGAGAATCTATGAGATATTCACTGAAAACTATAGCAAAATGTGCTGCAGTATGTCCTGCAAAAACAAAGTTGTTGCAGTTTAATACAGCTTTTCCATGTTTTTATGACAGAACCAATTAGGAAATAACATTTATAAGCCAGGAACAATAATTGTGTTATTATTATGCAATTACAGTATATTCTGGCGTATAAGACTACTTTTTAACCCAAGAAAATCTTCTCAAAAGTCAGGGGTCGTCTTATACGCGGGTGTAGTCTTATGCATGGGAGTAGTCTTAACTCTATATTTTAACTGGAAAAGTTGGGGGTCGTCTTATACGCCCAGTCGTCTTATATGCCGGAATATACGGTACTCCTGTATGATTCCACTTTGTTATTGAATCCTGATATTTGTATTTAAAATAGGTTACTGGGAATCCTGAGTGAGAGGACTCCAGTGCCTCCTCAAACTACAAACCCCATGGCTGTTAAGGTAGAATTATAGCAGTATAACTGTGTAGTATAAATGGGTTCTCAGCAAGGGCAGGGTTAAGGCACAAAATCCTCTGAAATGCACTAAGCTCTGCAAGCACCCTGAGCATGGTCAGACCTCTGGGAAGCATCGCTCATGGTCTCAGGCCAAAGCTTTCCTTCTTTCTGTGCTCCCTTTGCTTTGGAGGCTTTTACCTGAAGCGAGGACGTGTTGTGCCCACACTCAGCAGGCACTCCCTGCCACACGTCCTCCCTGAGCCGCCCAACCAAGAAGCCATCCAATCAGCCTCTGAAAGCCATTTCAGGCCCAATGCCTTCTCCATTCTCGGTGCCTGACTCTGAACAAGCCCCACATTTATAAAAAATGCAAACAAGCCTGCAGTCTTTCAGCTTAGAGGATGTTCTGGGAGTGATCAAGGTAAAAAATAAGTTGCAAAGATAAAGGCTTCTGACAAGGAACCCCCAGAACACAGTTTCAAAACCTCCCCTGTATTTAAAGGGGGTGCATGCTTGGGTGGGCTGCCATAGCCAGAAAGTACCCTCCCTTTGCCCTCAACTACTATCTCGATGCCTACAGCCATCTGAGATAAAAGTCTGTTAGTGCTAATAAGCAAACAGCTTGGATTCATTATAGGAAGCACTCGCGAGTGACTCCCGGCGTGAAATGCCAGGCCTCCAAAGGTACACCTCGCATATTAATGGAGAAAACACAAAGGGGAAAGGAAAGGAGGGCCCTCATTAGATCTTCCCTTCTGCCCACATTAATGATCCTCAAGGCAAATACTGCAAATGGGATGGCAGCCATGACTATCACCATATTTCACGCAGCAAAGACAGATGAAGGAAAGGTCTTATTCTGTCAGACCACAAAAAAAAAAAAACAATTATTCCTTATCCCATTATGCTGAGGAACATAAAAAACTTCACAAAAGAAAGCAAAAAAAAAAAACCTCCACAAAAGAAAACAGAAAAAAACATAAAAGAAAACGAAGTTTGAGAAAGCACCACCACCAACACACATTTAAATCTCTAACACAGAGAAAGGAGGAAGCAATCTTTCTCTGGCTGCAAACCCTTTCCATTCAAGCAGAACACTGGAGTTTACCCCTGCCTGTTTAAAATTCTGTGAGCAAGGCTTTCATGCCCCACTGTCCCTGCCAGGCTCACCTATGATGGGTTCTCCGCGGCAAGCGTGGTTGAGCACAGCGTTGATGTATTTCTCCTTGCTGGATTCGAGGTCCGTCTCCTGGATGCAGATTCGTCTAGGCCTTAAAGGGAAGAAGGAGGAAAAACACATGACAAAACGCCATACAAAGCAACCCTGGACAAGGGTGACATGTTAATGAGAACACGCCTCTTTCTATCTGCTGTCATGTTGACTCTGATTTATGGCAACCTTATGAATGAGAGACCTCAAGGAGTCACATGCATCATCCATCCTGTTCAGGACTTGCAAACTCAGGCGCCTGCCTGTAATATAGCTTTCCTTTCTTCCCTTGTCTTCCACTTAACAAGCATTATTGCCTTTTCTAAGAAGTCACGTTGTCTCATGATATGACCAAAGTATGGCAGTCTAGATTGAGTTGAGAATTTAGGTCTGATTTGCTCTTGGACCTACTAATTTTTCAATTCATTCTGGACTGCCTCATCACAGGATTTTCAAAATAAAAGCCATTCAGGAATGGTTTGCAACAGTAATTCCTACCTCTGGAGACCCTTCACATCGAATATTTTGACATCCAGTCACTGTTTGACACATTATGTCTGGCTCCTCAGCAAAATCCCATATGAGTTGGGAGACACTACCATTAGCAATGCTCAATGGAGGCCAACATCATGGAAATGTGGGGCAAAGGGGAGTACTAAGAGAATGGAAATGGTGAAGGGGTTAAAGTCAAGAGAGCATTGTCTTAGGTGGAGTGGTTTCCTAATGGTTTGCAGCAATAACCACATTTCTTCAATTGTAAGATGCCATTGATTGTAAGACACACCCTAATTTCAGAACAATAATCACCAAAAATACATAAGATACACCTGCAATTCTGAGACCCACCTCATTTTTAGAAATGTTTGTATGGGGGGAAAAGTACATTTTAGAATGGAATAAAACCTGTACTTACATCTAGAGGGCTTAAAAAAATCACACACCCAACAAGAAATTCTTATACACTTAAAAGAGTGATTATGTAATTGAAACGGGACAAAGTTAAGCCTCCACTGAGGCATGAAACTCAATGGATAACCATAGGCCGGTCATCTACTCAGTCTGACCTATCTCACAAAACTGATGTGAAAATAAAACGAGGGGGACAGGAGTCACACGTGCCGAGCTCATTAAAGGAAAAGCAAGGTAGAAACATAAGTAATGCACCAATAAATCTGTCATGCAGCAGCTCTCTGAAATCCTGGCAAGGAAAGGAATGTTTATCCCACTTTCAAGAATTAAAAATAATTCATGGTTCCCAGATTCGACAATAACCTGGAGACAAACTGCAGACGTGACAAGTGTTGCCTTCTTTATACGCATGGAAGACACCTGCAATTTCAGCGCTGCCACCGTAACTAAGCCAAAGTGATTGATATGCATGGGAGAGCCGATGCCTGGTGTCATCCAAAGAAGACACACACGTCCACAGCTCCCTCAATTTGCAAAAGGTTTCAGCGAGGCCTGAAGCTCCACCAGACATTTGATGTAAGCAATCTGTATAATGAGTTTTTCAGAATTTCAGATCTGCAGTATTGAGGAAAGGCAAATTTCTGGCTATTGTGACTGCGAGGGGAAGACTCAGCAAAAAATGCCAAGGAATCGTGCACATTTTCCTTCAGTGAGATTTTTGTGGGCCTTTAGAGAAAAAATGGGAACTGAAGTTCTCAGAAGAAAATACGCAAAGAAGCAAAAAGAGAAAGCTGCATTAAAAATATATAAACAGTCAATAAGATTGTTGTTTCTAAACCACACAGAAGACAAATGTGATTCATGACAACTTGGCTATGGGAGATGGACAGAGTATTCAAAATTAGGGTTGCCAAATGGACTTCCTGAATGATTTGGGGAAAAGAATCCTAAATCCTATGCTGGAACCCATTCTGTACAAATGCTGTGCATGGGGAAGGTGCACAGAAAACAGTGTTCCCTGACCAGGAAATGAGTTGTTTTCTGCTGGGAGCTACAACAACGTGTCTTTTTTGCATGGGATATTTCCCAAGCGACATATAGTCTTTATGAACTATGCATTTTCGATTATGTTCTTGCAGCAATTATTAAAACGCTTAAATTATTCATTCTTGCCAACGAGCACAACATTTACAGAAATACACAACCCTACGACAGTACTTTTTCAGACTTAAAATTGGGCATCTGCTACCACCTAGCGGAAAGGAATGGGATACTAGGGGAGGCCCAGTACTATAGGAGATACACGTCCGCACAAGACAACAAATCCCTAGATCCTGCAAAGGAATCCAAGCAAGGCAGAACAACCAGCCACAAGCAGACAGCAGGAGCAAACAGGACATAGAGGGGAAAGATTCTGACCTGTTTGATTCTCTGGTCGGAGGATCTTGTCCATGGTTTTCTCTTTGTTCCCTGACAGAGCTGGAACAGGATGGTGCAATCTGGAACTGTGAGCCAACAGTTAATGTAACTGCAGTGTTGTTGGCATTCTCCCCTCGTGGCTCCTTTTGATCTATGAAAGCCTGTCCGACTGAGGGCCTTTCACCTCCTGCACTGGTCTCTCTCCTTGACTCTGCAGATACCTTTTCTATGGCACTGGGAACATCATTCCCATTCTCCAAATTTACAGAAGCACTTTCTGGAAGTAAAGGCCCCTTGGAGCCTAAATCAAGTCTGGCTTGATTTTGGGAGCCCTGGCTTTGGTGATTCCAAGTCTCTAGACACACAGAGGCTTTCTTGGAAGCTGGATGGAAAGGCTCTGTGTATGGACTCATCTCTCCATCCTCACTGGCAAGGAGCTCATCCTCAGCCTCAGGAGAGAGGTCTGTAGGAGAGTTTAGGCTTTCTCCATCGGAAGCATCTAGAAGGGAATCATCCAAGTCATGGACCAGGGAAGGGGCCAGCCCATTGCTTGGGAAGGAATCATGAGGTGAGGATGGGCGCCACCGCTTGCTGCCCAGTGGGTCGCTGTCTTCTGTATAATCAAGAGGTCTCTTATTTCTGGGAGCTAGACCATTAAAGAGAGAGACTTGGCGCACATAGGGGCAGGAAATATCACTAGCCATTATAGCAACTTCAGGGCTACATTAGATATTTGTTTCTTTAAATTAGGCTTTCTGTACCATGACATAAGGGAGGTCCTAAACTCCAGCCTTTCCTTCAGTCAAAGCAGTCCCCTTTCACCTGTAAAAAAAAGAAAAGTAAAATAAAAAGGGCTAGACAAAAAAGACTTCTCTGTTCTTGCCCATACCTTTCATCTCCACTGGAAGAAGGCAGTCACTCCATTGATTTGGACCTCTGTCCTCCAAGAATTGCATTTACATAGAAGTAGGCACCACTCGCCTTTTTCCAATGAATAGTGTCAGTATTCACATGCAAGTGATTTGAAGCAGCTTTGAGTACAACCTCACACAAGCATGAGTGTGAAGACATGCAAGCTTTTTCATTAAAGAGAATGCCCCTTCACTAGCAAACCTCAAATTCGTGTGCTTGCTAGTTCCAAGAAGAGCTGGTACAATACAAGAATTGTTTGTCCTACTTTGTATCTGTGGGTGAAACAAAGTAGAAACTATCTCTGTAAGATTTATTACCAGGAACCTTATTTGGGAACAAAAAACAAAATAGATCCAGCTAGGGAAAATGATAGTGCCCAGTTCACATTCTGAAGAATGTCCAGTCCACTAAATGAAGAAGGAGCCAGCCTTCTCGAGTGTGGAGGACTTTAGCAGTGGCACATTCTTATTAACACATATACTTTGACTTCACTTGAACTACAAGGGCTCAGTGTTATAGCATCTTGGGAACTGTAGTTTTACAAAGCTTTAATCTCTGGAACTCTCTGCCTAGGGAGGCTAGAATGGTGCCCACTCTATTGTTGTTCTGGCAGCAGGTGAAAACCTTTCTATTATTATTTTTATTGTTGTTATTGATATTTTGTATACTACAATTTACTCTCTCTTCTATTCAGACAGGCTTTTAAAGAGGAAAGTTTTCAAGCACAAGCCTGGACATGTGGTGTAGCATTTTAACATTTTTAAAACAAGTCCAATGGTTCTATATTTTAGTTATTTGTGTTTAACAATTATGTGTTTAATTCAATTTTCATAGAATCATTGAGACCTTGTGGGCCATCCAGTCCAACCTCCTGCCAAGGGGGAAAATCACATTCAAAGCACCCCCAGCAGATGACCATCCAGCCTCTGTTTAAAAGCTTCCAAAGGAGCCTCCATCACGCTTCTGAGCAGAGTTCCACTGCTGAACAGCACTCAGTTAGAAAGTTCTTCCTCGTGTTCCAGGGAAATCTCCTTTCCTGTAGTTTGAAGACATTGCTCCACCAGAAAACAAGCTTGCTCCCTCCTCATGACTTGCTCTCACATATTTATACCTGGATATCATGTCTCCTCTCAGCCTTCTCTTCTTCAGGCTAAACATGTCCAGCTCTTTAAGCCACTCCTCATAGGGCTTGTTCTCCAGACCCTTGATCATTTTAGTCGCCCTCCTCTGGACACATTCCAGCTGTCAACATCTCCCTTCAATTGCAGTGCCCAGAATTGGATAAAGCGTGATTCCAGGTGTGGTCTGACCAAGGCAGAATAAAAGAGTAGCATGACTTCCCTGGATCTAAACACTATATTCCTTTTGATGCAAGCCAAAATCCCATTGGCTTTTTTGCTGCCGCATGACCTTGTTGGCTCATGTTTAACTTGTTGTCCACAAGGATGCCAAGATCTTTTTTAATGTTTACATGCTATAGATGACACATTTTGAGTGCAGCGATATGCTTTGAATCTCTTTAAAAGGGGATATAAATATAATAAATATTGTTTATTATTTTAATTATTGTTTTGTTTACTGTTTAATTATAGTTTTGTGTATTTTAATTATTGTGGGATTATTGTAATTGTTTAAATGTAACAGCATCGAATTGCTGCCAAATGTAAGCTGTCCTGAGACCCCCTTCAGGGGTAGAGAAGAGACAGGGCACAAATATGGGAAATAAATAAATAAATACAGGGTGAGGCAGCATAACTTCCATTTTTCAAAACTTAATAAAACCCATTGTATGAATCAGAATTTTTTTTTATAATGTAGGTCCATACCTAAAGTTTTGTTTTACGTGGTTTTGAAGATCAAATTAGGTAGATGACGTCCCCCATTCTCCATACACTGAGTAAACCGATTTCTGGCATTTGTCATGACTCTTGCCAGCATAGCAGGCGTTATGTTGGCAATTTCTTCCTGGATGTTGGTCTTCAAATCTTGCAGGGTCCTTGGACGGTTCACATAAACACGGGATTTCAAAAAACCCCATAGAAAAAAACCACAAGGGGCCAAATCTGGAGAGCGGGCCGGCCACTACAAATCCACTCGAAAAGTAGGCCTCAATGGCAAAAGCATGCTCCTCACTGTTCCAACGCATGATGGCGACTGAACTGTGTCAGGACAAAACTTTATACTCCCACCTCTCGAACAAGACCACTTGCACTCCGCTACGTCTTCAACAGACTGAATGGCGTGCATTTAAAAAAAGGAAGTTATGCTGCCTCACCTGTATATTGGAAACTAAGCAAGGGAGGTATATGGTATCTGTAGAAGGTCCAGGGTGGGAGAGAGAACTCTTGTCTGTTGCAGGCAAGTGTGAATGTTGCACTTAATCACCTTGATTAGCATTTGTTACACTTAATCACCTTGATTTATTAGGATGTTGTAATATATCTGTCTTGCTAGTTTTTGCCAGTTGTAATTTGTGTTTCTACTTGTCACTTGTATAAAATAACATTTGAAAATCGTTAATCAAGAAACCTTGTTTGCATATCCTGCCAATATCTGAGGCTGGTTTGGTCGTGACACGCAGTAGAACCAGAGCTTGGCAAAGTAACATTTTTGGTCAACACCTCCCCAGATTATCCCCACATCCAACTTGGCTAGCAACCACGCTGGCTGGGGATGTGGATTTGGGAGCAGATGTAGAGCCTCAGCCTCTCCTTTTGGAACCTTGCACAGTCCATTAGACCTTTGCCACATAGGGAAAGTGGGATCTCCCCCATAACAACTTGGGTTTTCATCCCACTCAGGGAATACACGCTGGATGTATACCGGCTCTCCTCCATCGTCACCCAGCATGATGCCAAAAAAGCGGGAGCCTAAGTGGTTAAGCAGGTGGAGCACCCCTTGCTCAGTGGCCTCCTCTATGTCTTCAACTGACTGAATGGCGTGCATTTAAAAAATTATTATTATTATTAACTTTATTTGCACTGCGCTAGCATCTCCCGAAGGACTCGATGCGGCTTACAAAGGCCAAGGCCTCAAAACACAACATAACAATACATAACCTAAAGAAAATTAAAAACAGTTAAAGCAATATTAAACAACAAGCAATAAAACAATACACCAGGACACAATAAAATTGGGCCGGGCCAGAGTAATGGGTACAGATTAAAAGTGCTGATGTGACAGGTGATATATGAGGATTATAGGGCAAGTGCAATGTGCCAGCAATCTTAATTTCTAATAAAGTGCTTCTGGGACTTGTTGTTGGAGTTTTTCTATTCTGGAAAGGCACATTGGAACAGCCGGGTCTTCAAGTTCTTTCTAAAGGCTGCCAACGTAGGGGCCTGTCTAAGCTCTTTCGGGAGGGTATTCCAGAGTTGGGGGGCCACCACAGAAAAGGCCCTGTCTCGCATCCCCACCAGACGTGCCTGCAACGCAGGCGGGATCGTGAGCAGGGCTTCTCCGGATTAACGAAGTGAGCGTGTGGGTTCATAAACGGAGATGCGGTCACGCAGGAAGGACGGTCCCAAACCGTTTAGGGCTTTGTAGGTAAGCACCTGCACCTTAAATTGGGCTCGGAAGATAAAGGAAGTTATGCTGCCTCACCCTGTATAATAACACGTGGTTGTTGGACCAGGCCTTTGGGCAATCTGCCAACTAACTAAGGACAACCAGACAAATAGGAGCGGCAGGACTGATAAATGTGGAATGAAACTCTGAACTATGAGATAGCGAATATTGACCGGCAATAAGGAGTAATTGGTTTGTATCGGTTTGTATGAAATTTTTATGGGTTTTATTGGGTATAGATATGATGTATTGTTGATGTTTGCTATTTTGTGCTATTGCGTTTTATTATTGTTGTATGTTACGGGCATCGAATTGTGCCTTGGATATGTAAGCCGCCCTGAGTCCCCTTCGGGGTGAGAAGGGCAGGGTAAAAGTAAACCAAATAAATAATAAATAAATAAAATATAATTTGCCAAAAGGGTAGTATCTCACCAAATCCAAACTCCCAGGATTCCATCGCATTGACTTATGGCAATTAAAGTGGTGTCAAACTGCATTAATTAATTTGTTGCAGCTCTTCCAATAAATGTATGTATGAGGGAAGGCCAGGGATGAAAAAACAGCCCACAATTAAGAGATATGAGGGAAGCCTTCATCCTCATCCAAAGTGATGGAAAATTACTTTATTTGACGGCAATTCCCATAAACCAGTGGTTTTCAACCTGGGGTCCCCAGATGTTTTTGGCCTTTAATTCCCAGAAATCCTAACAGCTGCTAAACTGGCTGGGATTTCTGGGAGTTGTAGGCCGAAAACATCTGGGGACCCCAGGTTGAGAACCACTGCCATAAGCCATCAGTTAGGACCCCATAAGTAACTTTTCCCCAGCAGTTCTGGCCTCCTGAATTTTTCCCACCAAACCCGCCTTTAGTACCATCCTCAACCTAAGCCTCACTTCATTTTCCTCATTCTAAACACAGGCCTCCAGCCCCTTAGAAGGCTTCAGGGAAAATAAAACCTTCTTATGCATTCACAGAAGGGAGCTTTGGGCCTTTAGAAGTCTCTCTTTCCAAGGAAATGCTAAACCGAGCTCTCCTCAGCCATTTTTCTCCTGTTTTGAGAGAAAGAAGATGCTCACCCGCCGCCATCTTGCTCCAAGAGGCTCTAGAGCCACGCCCCCCGTCGTGTTGCGGATCCAGCGGTCTGGCCACGCCCCTTTTTGTGCGTTCAACCAATCAGGAGGCAGAAAGGGGGCGGGGCAAGGAAGCTCTTCGATCGATGCACTCGGCGCTCGGCGAAGAGGAAGTCCGCCAGGGTATTCAGGAGGAGAGAAGGAGCGCCGAGCGTAGCTGATGCAATCCATAGAGCGGCGGCCTCGCAGGTGAGGGAAGGGGTTTATGTTTAAATAATGGGGGAAAAGGCAGGTGAAGCTCAAAAGGGGTTGAGAGAAGGATTTGGGGAAGGGGAGAGGTGAGAAGAGCCGAACACGTGGTTTAGAATGACAGCATGGTGAGGAACATGGTGGATTTGGGGTTTGGGGGTGAATTAGAGAAGATTTGGTGGTATTTTGGCCTGACAGGATTGTCTCTGGGTATCCAGAGTAGGCTACCCAGAGACAAGCCTGTCAGGCTGGGACTACAAATCCCAGCATGGCTGGCTGCGGGATGATGGGAGTTGTAGGCCTCCAACCTTGTGGAAGGAGGGCTGAATGGAATTATGTTAGCTATCAATATCTAGCTATCTATATAAGTATAAGTTTCTACAAAGCATTGGGACAGGAATGGTTAGAAGTCCTGAACCTTACAGGAGCATTCACCTTTATGTCAGAATGGGAGACATCTACTTTAGTCAGACAGAACTAGACTGGCTGTTACCCAGAGGACATATGCTTTGGCTTCCCCAAGATTGTGGAATGGCCTGCTAGAAGAAATTGTTAGAATATAGTGGTTTAAGGAGCGGCTTAAGGAGCTGGGCATGTTTAGCCTGAAGAAGAGAAGGCTGAGAGGAGATATGATAGCCATGTATAAATATGTGAGAGGAAGCCACAGGGAGGAGGGAGCAAGCTACAAGAAAGGAGATTCCATCTGATCATGAGGAAGAACTTCCTGACTGTGAGAGCCGTTCAGCAGTGGAACTCTCTGCCCCGGAGTGTGGTGGAGGCTCCTTTTTTGGAAGCTTTTAAACAGAGGCTGGATGGTCATCTGTCAGGGGTGATTTGAATGCAATATTCTTGCTTCTTGGCAGGGGGTTGGACTGGATGGCCCATAAGGTCTCTTCCAACTCTTTGATTCTATGATTCTATGAATGAATGTTGGGTGGGGAGGTTAGTTGATGTCCTTGGTGTTCATCTCGTAATGTCCTTCGTGTTCACCTTCAGTCATCCTGGCTGAAGACGATTAGAGCTGTAATAATAATAATAATAATAATAATAATAATCTATGTATTGTCGAAGGCTTTCATGGCCGGAATCACTGTGTTGTTGTAGGTTTTTTTCGGGCTATATGGCCATGGTCTAGAGGCATTCTCTCCTGACGTTTCGCCTGCATCTATGGCAAGCATCCTCAGAGGTAGTGAGGTTTGTTGGAACTAGGAAAAAGGGTTTATATATCTGTGGAATGACCAGGGTGAGACAAAGGACTCTTGTCTGCTGGAGCTAGGTGTGAATGTTTCAACTGACCACCTTGATTAATCTAATCTAAACCCCTCAACAAAATATTGCTCCAGGCACTGGCAGGCAATCAAATGCTAATCAAGGATGAATTGACACCAAATTTGGACACAAGACATGTCTCAGGCCAACAAGTGACCATCACTCATAAAAACCCTGAACAACACAGCAGAAAAGAGTTGAAAAGCCAAAACATAAGAAATACATCACAATGCATGCGCAACCCCCCCCCCCACACACACACACATATATATACACACATGCAAACACACATATATACAAATATACACAAATATATACACACATATACATACACAAAACACATATACACAGACTGGGCCACAGCAACGCGTGGCAGGGGATGGCTAGTCTATATAAATAAAAATGTAATGTTCATTTGTGGGATTAACAGAACTCAAAAACCAGTGGGCCAATTGACACCAAATTTGGACAGCATAGACCTAACAACCCAATGTATGACCTTCACTCAAAAGTTTTGATTTTGTCATTTGGGAGTTGTAGTTGCTGGGATTTATAGTTCACCTACAATCAAAGAGCATTCTGAACTCCACCAATTATGGCATTGAACCAAACGTGGCACAAAGGACTCCCATGACCAACAGAAAATACTTGAAAGGTTTGTTGGGCATTGTAGTTCACCTACATCCAGAGAGCACTGTGGACTCAAACAATGATGGATCTGAACCAAACTTGGCACAAATATTCCATTTCCCAAATATGAACATAGATGGAGTTTGGGGAAAATAGACCTTGACATTTGGGAGTTGTAGTTACTGGGATTTATAGTTCACCTACAATCAAAGAGCATTCTGAACTCCAGCAACAACAGAATTGGCCCAAACTTCCCACACACAACAAGGGAGATGTAAGATCACTCTCCAAAAGCGCAACGGAAAAGCCACATTTTGAGGTTCTTGAAAGCTTCTAAGGTAGGGGCTTGCCTAATCTCTCTGGGCAATGCGTTCCAGAGACGAGGGGCCACGGAGGAGAAAGCTCTCTCCCTCGTTTCCATAAGTCTGGTGTGTGATAATGGAGGGTGCGAAAGGAGGACCTCCCCCGAAGAACAAAGGGATCAGGCAGTTTTGTGGGAGGAGATGCGGTCACGAAGGTAGGCAGGTCCCAAACCGTTTAGGGCTTTATAGGTGATGACCTGCACCTTGAATTGGGACCAGAAAACAAATGGCAGCCAATGGAGCTCCTTAAACAGGGGGGTTGACTGCTCCCTGTAATTCGCTCCCGAGTTGTAGTCCTGCTCCTTCTGGATGGATCCATCAGGTTAATAATAATATAATAATAAAACTTTATTTATATTCCGCGCTATCTCCCCAAAGGAACTCGGGGCAGATTCCAAACATAAAAGGCAAGCATTCAATGCCCGAATACAGCAACAATACATCCATACTAACAAAATGTATACAACCCAACATATAAATATGAATTATAACTTAGCAAACTGCAATTAAATAAAAAGCACAGCCAGTTATAACAGACATAAGACAAAACATCAAATGGAAACAATAATTTCTTTAGGGCAAATCGATTTAGGTTCCTATAAATGGAAATGGCTTCTATTTTGCAGGTGGTCTTTGATGTAACCCATCTCCAGTCTCCCCTCTCAAGTGCTCTTCCGTCTGGGGAATGATAGGAGTTGTAGTCCTTCCCCATCTGGAAGAAGGGCTGAGGTTCTCCCAGCAGAGTCTCCTGAGTGTGTATTTCCCTCCCAAGGGCCATGCAGGTTAGGGAGAATGGGATTTGTGGTCCCAACCAGTCTGGAAGGAGGGCTGAGGTTTGTGATCATTGGATTTTGGAAAAATTGGCTTGTTGTGAAAACAAGGATTGGTGATAAAGCTTTAATGGAGACACCTTTTCCCCATGAAAACTCTTTCAGAAATGAATTTCCCTTCCTAGGAATAGATTTCTCTCATTTCCTGTTGTCTCATCCCCCCCCCCCATTTATGGGAGGCCCCGGTGACACATGGGTTAAACTCTTGTGCTGACCGAAAGTTGGTGGTTCGAATCTGGGGAGCGGGGTGAGCTCCCATCTGTCAACTCCAGCTTCTCGTGCGGGGACATGAGAGAAGCCTCCCACAGGATGGTAAAACATCTGGACGTCCCATGGGCAATGTCCTTGCAGACGACCAATTCTCCCACAACAGAAGCAACTTGCAGTTTCTCAAGTTGTTCCTGACACGAAAAAAAACCTCTCATTTGTAATTATGAGTCATTTGTAAGTCAGATATTTGTAACTTGGGAACTGCCTGCATGTGCAATTACAAGTATTTCCAAACCTGAGGAACATCAACCTCTTGCATAAAAGATCCTCAACCTATAATTATTTCCTAAACCAGGATAAAAGCAGGGCAACTGGTCCTTTCCTCCAGAGGGACTTTATTTTCTTTTTAATCTGTTAAATTTTGTGTTTCTGTCCTCATATATAAGTATCTCGGGGCAGGATGCAGACTCCAAAGTACGCAAAGACTAAATCCTATTTGGCACAGACCCAGGTGGGCTGAGGGTGGGAGTGGCAGCCAGCCTCTTCTTTCTGTTTCGATTCTGTTCTTTTTCCGCTGAACAACTCCACTGGTGCCTCCTCTCTGAACCTATTCATCCATCTCACCAATAGCATCGCAACAGAAAAGGCTACCAAAGAAGGCAGTAGGCTTTCCTTCCTTGGAGGTATGTAAGCAGAGTTTCCATGCCTGTGGACCCTTCCACACAGCCCTATATCCCAGAATATCTGCTTTGGACTGGGTTATCTGAGTCCACGCTCAGATAATGTGAGATTTTCCACCTTGATATTCTGGGATATAGAGATGTGTGGAAGGGTCCAGAGCTCACATTCAGATAATGTGGGATTTTCTGCCTTGATATTCTGGAATATAGGGCTGTGTGGAAGGGTCCTGTGAGTCAACGATGATGGAGACATAAATTGTTGCACTGGCAGAGTGTTGGGCTTGATGGAATCTCTTTCCAATTTCACAATCCAGTAGAATTGTAGAGATAAAAAAACCCCAAAGGTCATTGATGCCATTCACTTGTCAATTCAGAATTGTATACCTGAGGGCCCTTCCACACAGCCCTATATCCCAGAATATCAAGGTAGGAAATCCCACATCATCTGAGTGAGGATTCAGATAACCCAGTTCAAAGCAGATATTGTGAGATTTCCTGCCATGATATTCTGGGGTATAGGGCTGTCTGGAAGGGCCCTAAGGCCCCATTTACACAGCCACATAAAATTCAGATTATCTGCTTTAAACTGGATTATTTAATATACATGGAGCCCCCAGTGGCGCAGTGGGTTAAACCTCTGAGCTGCTGAACTTGCTACCCGAAAGGTCACAGGTTCAAATCTGAGGAGCGGCATGAGCTGCTGCTGTTAGCCGCACTTTCTGCCAACCTAGCAGTTCAAAAACATGCAAATGTAAGTAGATCAATACGTAGCGCTCCAGCAGGAAGTGAACGACACTCCATGCAGTCATGCTGGCCACATGACCCTGGGGGTGTCTACGGACAACG